TTGAAAAAAAAGAGAGCAAAACAGGGAATTAAATCCACAGAAATACTTGGGGGAAAGGAGGGATCAACTTTTAATTTGCCCAGTGCAAATTAACTGAAATACAAAATGGCATTTGGACACATGTTACATATCCACATAACAAATTTCCACATTAGTCACCTGACCAAGACAATACTCAATGGAGGCAGTCTTTCAAAGCGCTTCAACCACATCTGGAAACTTGCAAACAGAAATACAAGCAACATTCAAACCATTCAGAAACAAACCACTTTGGCTTCGAACAATCAAATCATCTGATTGTTAACACACGTAATATGTGGGACAAGTTTGCACTCAATGGTAGCAAATTATTGCAGTTAAACCTATTATACAGTAGCCTCCAAAATGTCATGTAACAGTGCATATGAAGATATGACAATCTGAATGCTTGCAAAAAAAAACATGGAGCACAGAGCTTTAACCGAAGTCAGGTGTTAGAAAGTTGATATGTTCAAAATTAACTGAATATCGTTGCAAGCTAGAAACATAATGCTAAATAAACTTGTCACAATTATTTCAAAAGGATTACATACCAGGTCCCAGCCTACCTGTATAGCCATACTTTTTTTTAAATAAAATTTAATTTTCATGGAGTGTTAGCATGTTAAAAACACTACTAGCTTAATTATTACCTAAGATTTCATAATTTCCAAATCATTTATCAGGGCTTGTACAGAAACAAAAGTAGGGCTTAGGATAGCCAGCTTTTACTAAACGAAAAAGACAATGCATACTGAAATTCATAAACTAATGATCTGAGGCAGTCTGGTAGCTTTCTACATTTCTACCAGTTGTATCAAAGGTTAGATAATCTGTAAAATTCTTAACTTCCTTGTTATTGTCAACTCTCAAGCATCACTTCTGTTATAATGTGAATTTGGCCGAGCCCCTTTTTAATGACAATACATCTTAGTTACATGTACAATGTCTGATGCATGATTTCACACATGCACAAGTACTGACGAGTTTTATTATCATAGGTGTGTTAGCCTCTAATGTGCATAAAATTGTTTTCTGACAAATGTTACTTTGGGGGGGGGGAAAGAAGTCTAGCTTTATCTTTTACTTTACAAGCTGTTTCTATCATCGACAAGTTCAAATTAGCCCAAGATTACTTAACTTAGACCAAGCTGGCTAGGGCTAATACACATTGACATGAAAACTATAAAAAAAAATATACTAGACTATTCGCCGGTTATAAATTGGATTGGATAGTTAAAATCAGTTTTCCATCATTCAGAACAATTCTGTATCTAAAATATTTGCAGGTAAAATAAAGAAGTCACTTAATATGAGCATTAATATTTTATTTAAGATTTATCTTGAATCAGTTTTATTATGATTTCCTTGCTTTGGTGATTGTGAGCTGCCCAGTCATTGGGAGTCAGTCAGGCAGCATACAAATTTGATAAAAAAATAAAAATAAAGAGAGCCAGTTTAGTGTAATGATTAAGGCATCAGGCTAGCTCAGGGGTCTTCAAACTCAGCTCTTTCATGACTCATGGACTTCAACTCCCAGAATTGAAGTCCATGAGTCATAAAAGGGCCGAGTTTGAAGACCCCTGAGCTAGAAACTGGGACCCCTTGAGTTCTAGTTTCACCTAAGGCGTGAAGCCAATCACATGATGAGAGTGGGTGTCCTTGGGCCAGTCACTCTATCTCAACCCTAAGAAGCCGACAATGGCAAACCACTCCCAAAAAACCTTGCCAGAAAAATTACCAGGACTCTTCCAGGCAGCCACCCGGAGTCAACCTTGACTATAAGTCACCACTTACTCGCACACAGAGAGACCAAGCAATATCATGGTTAGGTTGAGAAGTCTCCTGTTTAGAAGCTTCAATCCTGAATTTGCTATTCAGCATTAGAGAAATTGCTACTTTAATAGTATCTTCTTCCTTTACAAAAAGCAACAGTTAGCAACAGAATTGCTACTAAGTAGGGATATTGGAAATAATTACAGGAAATGAATAAAAAATATTATTATAATGCTAAGTAATGACAGACTTAAATTAAAGAAATATTTATGGCATATATGGCAATATTTACAGCAATTATATGTTTATAAGAAAAGAAGAGGAAAGCATCAAAAACTGGCATGAGAATATAATGATTTCTGAACAATTTTAAATGTTTCATTCCTTTTGCATCCTTTAACGTCTGAAAAAAGACATTTAAATAATTAAATTAACGAAGATCAGGAAGACAGAATATCAACAGTAGTTCAATAATCAAGGCTTCCATTTCAAAACGCAACAGTTAATTTGTAGTTCAACGAGAGCAATACGGGAAAAAGATGCAATTAATCATGGCCAGGTGCTGAACATTTGGCCCACCGTTCACCCTGGTAAATGGAAGTATTAATTTTTTTTGAGAGAAGTGAAAAAACTCAAGCAGAATCCACACAAACGTAAAAAAAGAAAGTTGATTTCTGAATTACATTTGGCAAGCAAAAGTCACTGGGATGCTGAATTTACAATTCATGTGGCTTACCGAAAGAATTGTGTCAAGCTTTTGCTAGTAATTCTCAATGGAATTAGCAAATATTCCTAGTAGTATCTGAATTTCATTCAAAAAAAAGGGAGGGGGGAATAGACAGGAAGTTAAATATTGTCTAGATTCCTAAGGCCAGTTCATATACTTTACTTCCATAGAAAAGTGTGTCATTTTACAAAGCACAGGCCAGGAAACACCTGTCCTATGTGTATTTCACTTACATTAGTAATACACCAGTTCTATAACATAAATCAATGTAATTAAACTCCTGTTATGAGAGAGAGAGAGAGAGAGAGAGAGAGGGAGGGAGGGAGGGAGGGAGGGAGAGAGGGAGGGAGAGAGGGAGAGGGAGAGGGAGAGAGAGAGAGAGAGAGAGATAGAACCATGAACACATTTTCCAAGAGAGAGAGAGAGAGAGAGAGAGAGAGAGAGAGAGAGAGAGAGAGAGAGTTAGAACCATGAACACATTTTCCAAGAGAGAGAGAGAGAGAGAGAGAGAGAGAGAGAGAGAGTTAGAACCATGAACACATTTTCCAAGAGAGCGATCACTGAGGTTCCCTACTATCCCTTTTTGAAAGCACCTAATTTCCTTCTGACGTTTGAAGGAATCCTCAATGGAAAAACCCTTAGATACTATCTAAGTGCACTTTAAGAATCCCCTTAAAGGTTTTAATACAGACTACATAGGGCACCTCTCCAAGAAGTCTTGAACAAAATCTATCCTTCCCGTCAAGCCTCATAAAGTCTGTTTGGCCAGGCCAATTTTTAAAAACATAGACTATCTTATGTTCCCATGTGAAATTTATTCTGTCAAACATTAACAGCACTGCTTTAACAGAAAAATCCAGTTATGTTTAATATATTCCTCTGAAATAGTTTTAAACAAGGTGCGTCTGGGAAAAATCCAATTATTCAACAACCCAAAGAAAAAATAGCCATCAAATCCTTAATGAGGTTTATAGATTTGAAAGTCTCCATCTCCTACGAGCTGCAGGAGGGAAGGATTCTGCCTTCTTTAGAAGATCTCCTAAATTTCAACCAGCAAGGGGAAAAAAAGCCCACAACCAACCAGCTTTCACCAATTCCACTGCAATGCCGAAACAATCAGAACTCAAATGTCTGCGGGGCATTTTTGCCAAGACAGCAAAGCGAGAAATGAAAAGAGGGGACAGGATTTCTCCAACCCACCAAATTGGGGAGATGCCAGGAAGGATTCTACCCCCACCCACCCCCAATCTTCCCAGGAAAAGGACAACTAAAAGGGAGAGACACTCAATCCACAACAGCAGGAACTGTTTCAGTACTGTTAGCCATGGTGTCGTTGGTCATCCTGTTTGAATGTCAAGGCCCAAATAAGGCCTTCCTTTACCTGGCCAGCATAGCCCTTTGAAAGGTGAATCCCACCTGTCCTCCTACCCCTTCAGCCCCCCCCCAAGGAAAAGAGAAAGGAGGACCACCAGCAGGACAACTGTAACCTTCTCCTCTTCCTCCATGGCCCAGAAGACCTGCCTCTCCATCCAAACAAGGCTGGAGGGGAAGAAAAAGAGAGGAAGGAAAAGGGAAGGAAAAGGAGGAAAGAAAAGAGAAGGAGAGGAAGAAGAAAGCGGGCAAGGAGACAAAATAGGGGAAGTAAAAGGAGGAGGAGGAGGAGGAAAGGAAGAAATGGGAGAAGGACGAAAAAAGAGAGGAAGAAAAGAAAGAAGAGGGGAAGGAGGAGCAAAGGAAAAGAAGAAAAGGAAGATGAGAGGAAGAGAGGACAGAGAAAGAAAAAAGAGGGGAAGGAGAAACAGAGAAAAAGAAGAAAAAGGGAGGAATGAAGAGAGGGAGGAGAGGCAGAGAGGAAGCAGAAAGAAAAAAGAGGGGACGGAGGAACAGAGGGAAAGAAGAAAAAAGGAAGGAGGAGCAGAGGAAGAAAGAAGGGGAAGGAGAAAGAAAGAAGAGGGGACGGAGGAGCAGAGGAAAAGAAGAAAAAAGGAAGGAGGAAAGGAGGAGCAGAGGAAGAAAGAGGGGAAGGAGAAAGAAAGAAGAGGGGACGGAAGAGCAGAGGAAAAGAAGAAAAAAGGAAGGAGGAGAGGAAGGAGGAGCAGAGGAAGAAAGAAGGGGAAGGAGAGAGAAAGAAGAGGGAAAGGAGGAGCAGAGGAAAAGAAGAAAAAGGAGGGAAGGAGGAGGAGAGGAAGAAAGAGGGGAAGGAAAGAAGGGGAAGCAGGAGGAGAGAAGCCTCGCTGCTCCAGAACCCGCCCGCACGCCACATGCGCGGGACTACAACCCCCATCACCCCAGATCGCCCTCCAGACAGAGGCGAGGCCACCGCCGGGGGGCCGCGGAGGATGGGCGGCGGGGCCCCGAGCAGAGCCACCCCAGCAGAGGCGCCGGCTCCCCCTGCTCGGCCCAGCGGGACGGCGCCGGCCGTTGTCGCCCGAGGGAGGGCGGGGGGCGGCGGCGGCAGGCGGCGCCCCGGCGTCTCTACCTGTGAGGCGGACTTTGATGCTGGAGCCGGCCCTGCGGGTGCCCGCGTTCGACATCGCTCCCCGCAGACCGACCCACGCGCAGGGCGGGAGGCCGGATCAGCCGCCGGCCACGGCCGACCCCATCCGCGCTTCCGTCGTCGTCTGGCAGGCCCGACCTGCCTCGCTCGCTCGCTCGAGCCCGGCCGGCCTCTCCCCTCCCTCCCTTCCTTCCGTCCTTTCCTCCTCCTTCTTCTTCTTCTTCTTCTTCAGAAAAGAACCCGATTCCCTTTTTTTAAAAAAAAACCAAGAATTGTCATCCTCGCTACGGAGCGAAGCCGCCTCCGGTTCTCCTCAGACGGTGGAGAAGAAGCGGCGGCGGCGGCGGCGGCGGCGGAGGCGGCGCCGCCTCACGGAGCTCGACGCCCGCCCCGCCGGACGCGAACGGCGACTGCGCGGGCTCGCGCCGCCCCTCCCAGCCAACCGCCCGCCCGCCTTCGCGGCAGGCCCGGCGCCGCCCACTTTTTTTTTTCTCCTCTGTGGGTGGTGCGCGCGCGCGCGCCCGCTCTTTGCTCAGGAGGAGGAGGAGGAGGCGCGTCCCCGCGGCCATCTTGGGGAGGTCCGCCTATAATTCAGAGGTAGGCAACCTTGGCTCTTTTATGACTCGTGGACTTCAACTCCCAGAATTCCTGAGTCAGCTGTGCTGACTCAGGAATTCTGGGAGTTGAAGTCCACGAGTCATAAAAGAGCCGAGGTTGCCTACCCTTGGCCTATATAATAAAAGCTTCGCGCGCGAGTGAGAGAGGAAGAGAGAGAGAGAGATAGGAAGGAAGGAAGGGGGCGGAGTCGCGCGTCCCTCTTGGGGGCGTGGCGGAGTGCGCCCGGCCTAGACTAAAAGGACTCTAGACGTGAAACTACCAATCCCGTCAGCCCCCGGGAAAGATGAGCCAATCACGGGCGGGCTCGGACTCTGGAGGGTCACAGGTGGGCCACACCTGAGGAGATGATGCCTGGGATCAGCCTCCTGGTCCAGGATGATGGGAGGTGTGGTCCGTGGCATCTGGAAAGCAGGATTTGATGGAAGGAAACAAATAAAGAGTTCCATCAGGAGAGAGCCAGGGCAGGGGGGAAAAAATTGCTTTAACTAATTAACTGAGATTGCAAGGAGGATCCAGGCGCCACTTTTGTTTTTAGTATCTATAGGTGCAGTTAAGAGGGCTTCTAAATCTGGAAAGCATCTTTTTCAAATCTGAGGGCTAAAAATGGTCAATTTTCCTTTTTTTTTTTTTAAGCTGAGGATGTGAGGTGTGCTTCTTTTTTCCACCCTGCATTTCCAACCCAGTTGATTCAGAAGCTGGGCTGTCACGGCTCGGTTAACTGTGGCTTGTGAAATAAATCACAATTGGCTGGGTTTCCCTCTTCCTTCTCGGCCCTCCTGGTTGTGTTTGCACAAGCTCCCACCACCATATTTGCTCAATATATGAACGAGGTGCTGATTCGCTGTGGAGTTCTGGGAGTTGAAGTCCACACATCTTAAAGTTGCCCCGGTTTGAGAAACTCTGGTACACCTAACACAGGGTTCTTCAAACTTGGCCCTTTTATGATTGTGGACTTCACACTCCCAGAATCCCTCAGCCAGCGTGCCCGGCTGAGCAATTCTAGGAGTTGAAATCCACAAGTCATAAAAGAGCCAAGTTTGAAGACCCCTGATATAACACATGGATACTTCTACAAGGCCAGCTGAAGAAGTCTCCTCTAGAGCTTATTGTTTTCACAGCAAGGAGAAACAAAAGAGACACAGCTTCTACAAAGCAGAATAGTGATTTATTATGACAAACAAATAAGATGTGTTAAACCCCTTTTTTCACCCCTCCCTCTTAGTGTTCACCCAAAAAGAGCATCCATCACCATATTTGAAGGCATTTAACAAGCGAAGCTCTTTCAGAAGTTGAAAAGGTCCTGCTGTTCGGCCACAAAAGGCAGCGTTTTCTTCTCTTCATTTTCCGGCTTTATGTCTTCAGCTTCCTAACATCGATGGGAGGAAGAGAAGACAATATTTTCCTTGCAGACTTTTCAGATCTGTTGCTTTAAGTCACATGCCCCCTTCCCAAAACACCCCTGTCTTAGGGCACAGTTCCTCCATTATGCAAACAACACTTTGCTTAACTATGGTTTGAATAAACGGCGGGGGGGCCAAGTGCATCTAACAGGCCCACGGTGTCAGTTCTTTGCAAATAGGTTGCAAATGCTTTACGACAGTTCACAAACAGTTCAAAACAGTTCTCGGAGCAGTTTTGAAATTTTAGTAATGGAGTTAACCAGAGATTGCTCCCAATGGGGTTAAAAACCTGGCAGCTTCCTAATGTTCGTTGGGTGGAGAAGGAATTACCCAGGTGATACAACGCTGTTAGTTCTCCTTTAAAGCTACATTTTTCAAACAAGAACATGGGGATTTGACGCCAGCCTCCACTTACCTCTCCAGAAAAATATTTCTCAATGAGGGCTAGGGCAGCACGATAGATCAAGTTGTTCTCGTGAGTCTGGAGAGCTTCGATCTTCTCCACACCTTCCAGCTCCTCAACCAGAAGGCCCAATTTTTCTGTCTCACCCAGCTTCTCAGCTGTCTGGTATAGAAAGAGAAAACATAAGTAGCAAAAGCAATAGCGCTTAGACTTATATACCGCTTCATGGTGCTCTTACACCCCTCTCTAAGCGGTTTAGTCTTCCTTAGCCTTACCCGGAAGAAGTTGCCGAGACTGTCCAAGACCACAAGAATGGTGTTACTATCCTTGATGGACAACAGGTTGAGCAAAGGCTTCAGGACTCCGGCCCGGATCATCGCCACCACTTGCTGTACCGTGCCGCCCGTCGTGAAATTGGCCACAGCCCAAACACCTTCCTTTTGGGCTTTGTAGTCTCCCTACAGGCACCAAAGGAATAAAGAACCTTAAGAAATAGATGAACTTGGCTCCTACAGGTAATACTCAAGTAACAACCGGCGACTTAGCCACTGTTCAAAGTTGTAGCAGACTCCAAAAAGGGGACTTACGACCTGGATCTGAAGTTCAGATGGCTTTCCTATTCTCCCTCCACCCCCCCATGGTCACATGACCAGAGTTTGGGTGCTTGGCAACCCAGCTGCAAATGGCCAGTTGCAGCATCCTGTATCCCAGGTTGTTTTACAACGGTTTTGTGTCAAAAAAAAATGGTACTTGCTTCCGGTTTCAGCAAAACCGTGCCATAGGAAACGATGGGTTTGCTTAACGGCCACCACAAAAAGGTCACAAAATGGGTCGGTCACGTGACCCACCTATTTTACAACCGTTACAACTTGTGACCATAATGGGCAGGTTCCGTTACGGCCGTGACCTGACCTATATCACAATTATACACCTAACACTTTCACAAAAGCACTGTGTTTGTGGCTGGTAGTTTCCTGGCAAATCTCTTTTTGCCGGTGTTAAAAATTCATTATCCAAAACCCGCAACTTTTAATACTTTTGGTGAAGCCGTTAGTGATTTAATTCTAGCTTCAGTTCTCATTATGTGCAGCTGCCCTAAACTGGAAGGAACGGCAATGAGCATCACATATCCTGCTTCGAACACCTGCAAAAGGAGGCAATTTTTCCAAATTAGTAACTAGAAACTTAGATTTTTGTCTCTTATAAAAAAAAAAAAAGCAGAATCCCAGGAAATGCACTCTATGCATCCATATTAGATATTTTTTTTTTCCAGACCAAATGGGGAACCTGTTAGTTGGCCTACATTAATCTCTAAGCAGGACGAAGACTTTAAGTTGCAGGTTGGTTTGTGCATATGTGCATATTCTGACCTGTGTACATGCGTTGTTCACATACTTACAGGTAGTAACTATATGAACAATGATTCAGTCCAAAATTTTTCTTGCTAAAGCGAGACATTTGTTAAGAGAGTTTTGCCCCATTTTACGGCTTTTCTTGCCACGACTGTTAAGTAAATCACTGCAGTTGTTAAGTTAGCAACCAGGTTATTAAGTGAATCTGAATTCCCTTTGATTTTGCTTGTCAGAAGGTAACAAAAGAGGATCACGTGACTGTCCCCCAGACACTGCAACCATCATAAGTACATGCCAGTTGCCAAGCCTTTGAATTTTGATCACATGACCAGAGGGATGCTGCAAGGCTTGCAAGTTTGAAAAACTATCATAGGTCACTATTTTCGTAATTTTGAAAAGTCACTGAATCAACCGTCGCAATTCGAGGACTATCTGCATTCTGATCTGTGTGCATGAAGTGCACCTATATTTACAACCCGCTGCCAATCCCGATGGTTCAAAACTCTACCTTGGCCAGCAACTCCACCAGAGGAGGGAGGAGCCCACAGGTGATAAGTTGTTGGATTTGGCTGCAGGGGCCAGCCGCAATGTTGCTCAAAGCCCACGCTGCCTCCTTCTGGACCGATGACTTGGGATGACGCAAGAGCTGCGGCAGGACGGACAGGATGCCCGCATCGATGGCCATCTGGGTCTGTTCATCTGTCCCGGTGACCACGTTGCCTAAAGCACGTAGAGCTGGGGTCTACAAAGATATCCACAAAGAGAAAGACAAGATCATCACGGAGGTCCATCACTAATGTTCCCACAAATACAATAGAATGTTTGATCTTCACGGGGGCAGATCCCTCCCTAGCCTAGCAATGCCTTCCCTTCAAGAAATCATTCTTGCTGACCAGAATGATGTTGCCTATAGCAGGGATCCCCACCTTTTGGGCACCAGGTACCGGTTCCGTGGAGAGAGGCTTTTCCACGGACTAGAAGGTGCGTGGTTTTGTGTGCTGCCTGCATCCCGAGGATGGGGCTTTGCTTGTTTGTGTGGACCGGTTGCTGGTGTGCCGTAGCCCAGTACTGATCTACAGTCCAGGGGTTGGGGACCCCCTGGCCTATAGTACATGGAGAAGACGACCACGGAGGTCCATCACTAACGGTCCCACGAAATGTTTGGATAGGTGATCTTCACGGTGGGTGATTCAAAAATAATAATAAAAAAATCACTCTTGCTTACCAGAATGGGCAGGTCGGTGCTGTACAGAAGCTCTACCAGCCGAGAGAGGACCCCGGTCTCCACCACCAGCTGGATGCGATTGTTGGAGCCATCGGTCAAGTAGGACATCGCCCAACAAGTGTCAGAGATAATGTCCTTGTCCTTATGTTGCAGGAGACAAGTGAGGGCGGGAAGCACCTGCTTCACAGCGTCAAGGGGAGGGTGAGGGTTCTTGTTTCTGCAGAGATTGGACAGGGTCCAGGTGATATTCCTCAGGAAGCCCACCTAAGAAAGAAGAGGATGCTCGTTGGTTGAAAGCAAGCAAGCAAACAAGCAAAAAAAAAAAAGAGACAGGGGAACACATTTCCAGATTCCAGAGGATAAAGCAGGAACCAAGGAAGCCAGCGAGCGATTACAGCCTTTCCTGAACTTACAATAATTTGTTTCCAGGTTTCAACAGCCCTGGAAAAGGTGCCTGGTCCTCGCAGTTACAACTGTTGCAGCATCCCCACAATCACAAATTCAGGCACTGGTAACTGGCATGTGTTTATACCAGTTGCAGCGTCCCAGGGTTAGGTGGTCGCCATTGGTGACCTTTTCCCAGCCAGTGACCTTCTGACAAGCAAAGTCAGATTCACTTAACCACCGCAGATCAGCAGAACCAACTAACCCGACGGAACAGACTTGCTACATACCGGGGTCGAAGGCATCACCAGGGACAGGATTGGTGGAATCACACCAAAGCTGATCAAAGTATCCCGGCAGATCGGTCCATCTCCTAATGAAATAGTCACGGGAAGGAGAATTGTAGTTTCAAAACAAAAACAAAAAAAAGCAACTACAGGAAAGTAGTAACAACCGTTCATTCTGTAACCTCAGAACAAGCCAGCTCTACAAACTTACCGGCAATATTGCCCAGGGCCCACACCGATTGCTCACAGATATGGATGTGTGGCGAAGACAACAGAACCACCAAGCCCTGGATGCCATTGGCGTCGACCACAGCTTTGGTTTGCTTTGAGCTTCCTGAAGCAATGTTGGTGAGCGCCCAAGCAGCCTCAAACTGCACATTGGGAGTATCGTGAAAATACAAGAACTCCACCAGTTTAGGAATGATTCCAGATTCAATGACTTGATTGATCGGTGGATTCTTCTGCTTGGACAGCATCTTCCTGTTGGGAGAGGAAGCCAGGTCAACCTTCAGGTGGCCTCGTCCTGCTGGGAGAACCACACCCCAACAGTGGCGTTTCTCAAGGGACCTCTAGAGTAACTGAGGCACCTTCAACATCTGAAGGTCCTTCAGAAGCAAGTTGACTAAGCATGCCCGTCTGTGGTGGGATTCCCAACCGGCAGGATGATTCTTAGAGACCGGAGAACATGGGGATTGAGAGCAACCACTGCTTGGATCACCTTCCAGGTTGGATCACTCTATCAGGATTGTTTCAACCATCTTTGGATGCAGTTTATGGTCCTGCAGCCATGTGCTACCTTGTTGAGCTTTCTCTAGAAAGCTAGTGACCTCCATTAACAAACATTGACTGGGGCCAGCTTGATCTCCTGTTCTTCTCCGATGGCCGAGAACCAACCAAGTTAGTTAAGTAACCAATGGCAACCGAGACGGATTGATGGGGGACACAAAGAGCAAGTTACGGCTTTAGCCTACCTGATTGCCTGGGCCGCCTTGTGCTGAAGAAAAAGGTCATCTGAATTGATCAGCTCAACTATATCTATCAAAGAGACCTGAGTAACCTGTAGCAGGAAGCAAAAAGATTGTCAGACCCCCCACCACCACAAAGAAACAAAAGGATTGTCAGAACACCACCACAAAGAGGTCATCAGGATGCTCCTGGCCACACCAGGTATCCAAGAACTTCATCTTCTGCTCAATACATGGTTTACACCTATTCACACTAATCCCCAAACAAGCCACATCATAGTTTAGCGGGCCACATGAACAAAGCATGGCAGAGTCCTCAGATCTTGGCGATGGCCTGTTTCTGTGAATCATCCCCCCACTCCAAAACTCTCTCATTCAGTGGTTCTGAACAGCCCTACTGGTGTACACAGATATGGAAGACGGCCTGATCAAACCAGGCTCCTTCCAGATGTGTGGGGATTACAAACCCAGAATTCACAACTCATAGGAGTGAAATTCTGAACCTTACAATCCTGATCGGTTTAGACAGCATGGGTCGGAAAGGGCCCCTATAGAAAAATGAGATTTGTCCCTAGATGCAATATATTCTCGGGCAACAGATGGAAACTGATCAAGGAGAGAAGCAACCTAGAACTAAGGAGAAACTTCCTGACAGTGAGAACAATTAACCAGTGGAACAACCTGCCGCCAGAAGCGGTGAATGCGCCAACACTGGAGGTTTTTAAGAAGAGGCTGGACAGCCATTTGTCTGAAATGGTATAGGGTTTCCTGCCTGAGCAGGGGGTTGGACTAGATGACCACCAAGGCCCCTTCCAATTATTATTATTATTAAGATTCTACAGAGGGAGGTAAAACTTAACTTTTACTATGGAGCATTCCTTCTTATCGCGCTACCACCCCCTCCCCCACCCACACCTACCACGTTCTTCTCGTCTTTCTCGGGAGATAGGCTGGCTTCTGCCAAAAAGCAGATGTTCCTTCGCTTCAAAATCTGTTCGTCTTTCCTTGCTTTGCGAAGCTCAACTTTCACCTCAATTTTTCGCCTCCGGATTTCCTACCAAGGAAGAGAGTCGGGCATTATGGATTTTAAAAACAGCCGCACGGTTGGAAGTGCAGAGAACACGGTTGGAAGTGCAGAGAACACGGTTGGAAGTGCAGAGTCCGCAAGGAGAAGGGCGGGGTAAAAATTCAATTAAATAAATAAATAAAAAATAAATAAAGAAGAATTTCGGATGATCAGGATTCAAGATCAAATGCCTTTGAGCAAAACTAATTCTAATCTGCTACGTGTCAAACTTCAGAGGAGGATAAGCAACAGTGGCTATGCCTTCATCTAGAGAATAGAATAGAATAGAATAGAATAGAAACAGAATAAACATAATAGAATAGAATAGAATAGAATAGAATAGAATAGAATAGAATAGAATAGGAATAGAATAGAATAGAATAGAATACTGCAAGGGACCTTGGAGGTCTTCTAGTCCAGCCCCCTGCTCAAGCAGGAGAACCCATACCGTCTCAGACAATTTTGTGTTTGTGTTATGTCTGGGTGGTTGATGGCCTGAGGACACTCCTACCACCGTTACTCTCCTAGCCTTTTGAATTTTGTGCCTTGATGTTCAGCTGGATGGTTTAACTTGCTTTTAATTCTATTTTTAATCCCAAAGGTGCTTTTTCCAAGCAGGCATCAGGTCTTTCTTGGGTTTTTTCTTTGAAAACCATTTAGCTTCTCATCCAAGAAGAACTGAAGAAGCTTCTTGGATGAGAAGTGAAACATTTTCAGGGGAAAAAAAAACCCCAATAAAGTCCAGTTGCTCTTTTGGAAAAGCACCTTTGGGATATCTTTGACCTTGGATGATGGATAATCTCCATAGACATTCTGTTTTTAATGTGTGCCTTTATTCGTGTATTTGTGTGGTTTTATTAGGCTGTTTATAAACTACCCACGGTCCCTTAGGTAACATAGGCATAGCCATTATTTACTAAATAAATGCCTGTTGACTTTCTGCTTTATTTTACAAAATTGTGCATTTCTAAAAGGGGCCAAAGAAAGCTGGAGAATGAATAGGGTCTCCTGAATAGAAACACCCTTCTCTACACTACAGTGGATCAGAGCCTGCGTGAATACAGCTCCAGGTTGCAAGTTCCACCTCCGATACTAGGAGTGTAAATTTTGCACTTTGACCCCTTCTGTTCCTGAGGAACCACGTACGTTCCTGGGTTTCACACGTACTTACTGCAAAATTTTTGCCTTTGTTTTTGAATTTCCTCATCCGTCCATCTTGGTCATTTGTGGTAGGCATGATCCACGTTCTGCGAAGTCCAGACAGGTTTGGCCAAGTGTGTCTCTCCTTATACCTAAGTGAACAGAAGGAGTGTTGGCTCAGGAGCCCAACCCCACCAGCCACTACTCAACCTTAACCAAAGGGCCAGAAAACCCCTCTTTCCTACAATGTGTTTTGCTGCCCCGATATGATTATCCTAATGGATTTGATAGCATTTATAATCCACCCCAAATTCATTGTTTTAATGGAAGAGAAAAATAGTGGGGGTTTTTTTTGCTTTGCAAGCTGCAGCCATTTAGTTTTGGGATGGAGGCCAAGGTGCTTTGGTCAAGGCAGAGAAGAGAGATTTTAAAAGGCAGGGCAGTTCGGTTTCAAACTAGGCTGAACTCCTAGCACCTTGGATAAAATAATTTCTAGCCCATGAAGGGCTGCAGAAATATACTTTAAAACAGACTCGGGTGTTGTACTCACATTTAAAAGAGTCAGTTACAAACCCACCAGTTCTACTGGCAATAGACACTAAGTTTTCTTAATTTTTCCCCTTGAGCAAATGAGGTTTTTTCCCCTCTAACATATTTGGTGAATCCAGGGCACCTAATTATTGAATAGTCTACTCTACTCTAAAGCTCCACGCAATCCCTTATGGGTTAATTCAACATCCAAGAATCAATTTGGTCTCGTAATTAAAGCACCAGGCTAGAAAATGGGAGACCACGAGTTCTAATCCTGCCTTGCCATGAAAGCCAGCTGGGTGGTTTGGGGCCAATCCTTCTCTGTCAGCCCAACCCACCTCGCAGGGTTATTGTGAGGAAAAGAGGAAGGAGCCGTATTAGGTATGTTTGCCACCTCGAGTTCTTTTTAAAAAATACAGGTGGGATAGAAATAAAACAATAACATAACCCAGGTTAAGCATGCAGCTTAAGCACAGCCATTAAGAACCACTGAGTAAAAACACCTCAGAATTATATACAGCCCTTAGGTTTTAAGGTATAACCAAACCTTCCCTTCCTTTCATTTAATTATTTATTGTGTAATATCTGCATTGGCAAAACACAGAATAAATAACGTGTCTTGGACATAAAATTGAATACATTTATAAGCTTCCTGCCGTGCCTCTGTTCCTAGTCCACAATAAATTAAAAGGCACGCCAAAAAAAAACAACCAACCAAATTACACCCCGGCTACTCACTGTTTCCTTGTACAAGCCGCTTTGTAAAAGCTGCAGCCGCCCTGAAAAATACTTAAATTTCCCGGGAAATGGGTCAATCACCCACTCTCGTCTTTTGATTGGCTCACACCTCCAAGAAGCTCCGCCCCTTTTCAGGGTTCTGTTCTTAACAAGCCGCCGGGAAAACAACTGCGGGCGTGTGGGTTCCCACTGCGCCTGCGCAGGACAGGTATTTTATTTTTTTTTGCACGTGTGAATTGTGGCTTATCAAGCCCATAATGATGGGCGATAGTTAAAAATTGCAGAGCAGCGTTGATTGGCATGCTCACCTGGGAGAAATCCTCTTTGAATGCAATAGGATTACTTCAGAGTAGACCCCTAAAGGTTTGAATCCCCTTTACGTTCAATGGGGTTTACTCGTAAGTTCAAGACATCAGTTTTGCTCTTTCATTCTTTCCAATGGACTTGGCTTTCAAGCTGACCTAAGTGCAGGACCCACTTTCTGAAGTGACTTTAAAAGATAATATTTATAGCTCAGCGTTGAAATGAAGGGTCCTTGGTGCCCTCTGAGCTGGCTTGTTTTCGTGCGTTTTGTGACCCAACTAGGATACATCACCAGTGCTAGAACTTGCCTAGCACTGATGATGTTACTTAGTTCGGTTACGAAACATCTGCAAGAGAGGACCCCACAGTTCTCCACTCCATAAAACCCCACTCCCTTCTAGCACTGATGGTGTCACCTAGTATGGGTAATGAAATGTCTGCAAGGAAACAGCCAATATCAGAGAGCACCAAGGGCCCCTGAATTCACTTTTATCGATCTCCCAGCACAATTGATTAAACCCTTCCTCCATAGAGCAGCCGAATTGATTCGGGTTTCAAAGAACGTGTCCTGGGGTCACAACTGATTTGAGGAATCACTATTTCCATGTAAGCCTTGATCACTGGCTGAACTGTTGAAACCAGGATCTGGTTCACCATGAGTTAGCAAGGGAACATGTGCTAGCAGACATGGCTTTAACCAAGTCTCTGGCCTAATGGGTTCCAAAGGAGGGCATTGTGGACCTACGAGATGCCACCTTGGAAATAATTGCCGAAGAGCAATTTTGGAGAAGAAAGAAAATATCCTTTTTTTCAGACCACCATCTGCTTTTCTGCCAATTATAACAACACACCGTTGCCCAGGCAATTCCAGGCTTTCTTGGCATGGGTTAACCATCTCTCAAAATAGATGTTTAGATGAGTGCTTTGTCCTTCTTTGGACCAAACTCTGGGGCTTGCTCTGGGGCTAGAAACCCGGCGGGAATACTATGACTGGGTAGCAACAGCTGGGAATGACCTTGCCCCATCAAAATAGAAGCCTCTGCCTTCCTTGGCACTTCTTTAGAGGCTAAGAAAGCACCTGCCAAGGAGAAGAGCCCAGATAACCTTTCACTCAGCCTGGAGTTACGGAGGGAAGAGGAAGAATTGTGGAGGGCATGGCTTTTTGGAGGGAAGGAGGGAGAGGACGGGAAAGGAAAGGAAATGAAAGAAAGAGAAAAGAGGAAGGAAAGATGATGGGAAAGAAAAGAAAGAATGGAACAGGAAAGGAAAGGAAGAAGATGGAAAAGGGAGAAAGGAAGGAAAAAAGGAAGGAAGGTGATGGAAAAGAAGAAAGAAAAGAAAGAAAAGAGAGGAGGAGGAAAGCCAAGCAAAGGAGGAAGGAAGGAAGATGAAAAAGGGAAAGAAAGGGAAGGAAAAGAAGAAGGAAGGAAGATAATAAAGAAAGGATGGAAGGAAGGACAGAAGGAAGGAAGGAAGGAAGGAAGGAAGGAAGGAAGGAAGGAAGGAAGGAAGGAAGGAAGGAAGGAAGGAAGGAAGGTAGGAAGGAGTAACCCAACCCTATTTCACCCTGTTTGTCATGTGCTCCTTCTAACCTCCCCAGAGCTAGTTCAGAGTAACAACATCACACCACAAAACAAATATTAACTGTTCTCACATGCTAAATAAATATGAACTCTCCGCACTTTGGAAAAGTATTTAGGTGGGCGTGGATGATTTTGTGCCTTAGTTCCTTTTAACACTGACTGACCGCAGGTCTCTGTTTTCAGCCATTCCTCCACCTAAGCCTTTATCTCTTTCCCATAAATTATCCTCTCTGGTTGCACCCATTCATCTGGGGTCAGCCCCCTGGAGTTCAAGGAAACTGACTTTTGAGTAGAACTACATAGGCCACCGTTTCTCCCCCTTGGTAACCCTAAGGTGTGTGGACTTCAACTCCCAGAATTCCTCAGCTAGAATTACAGTACTCAAAAATAGATCTTACAATCCCACTCTTATTGCTGGAAAGTTGTGTTTTGGGGTTTGTTTTGTTTTTTTATTACTGTAACCACCTGCTTGTTAGTGATTAAAAGAGAATTTTTGGGACAGGTCCATGCAGAAGAAAGAAGTAGTATTTCTGAATAAATCTGCCTAAAGCTTCAATCATGATCAAGATACCTACAAATCATGTCAAGTCGTTGGTTTTCGGTTGCGTTGTAGGAGAGCCAGGCAAATCATGATCAAGATACCTACAAATAGTGCCAAATCATTGGTTTTCGGTTGCGTTGTAGGAGAGCCAGGCAAATCATGATCAAGATACCTACAAATCATGTCAAATCATTGGTTTTCGGTCGCGTTGTAGGAGAGCCAGGCAATTCCCAGTTGAGTTTGACAAGAACAAAACAAAACAACTGCTCATGCCTTTGGCATTAAAGGTATTCCTGGATTCCACCAAGTTGGGCTAGCTAGGCCACGGGGGAAATGGATTGCAAGCTAGCATGGGAAGCATGCTTTACATTGAAGTAACAACTGAAGGGGTGCCTTGAGAAGATAAATCTGCAAGGCAGGAGAGTCTATTTCAGACTTCCCCAGTCCCTTGAGTGGCAAAAGAAGCCTGCAAGATGCCCTAGAAGGAGACGGACAGGGAGGAAAAACTCGCAAGAAGTTGTTGCATTATTTGATCTCTCCTGAGGGAGATGATCCTGATCCAATGAGCTTTCTCTTGATAAAGACCCTGGCTCTTGCTAAGAGAAAGTGATAGGACACATCAGAAGGTATAAAAGAAACCAGCCAGTCATCAAGTAAACACACTTTTTGGTTGCGTGTCTTCAGGAGGTACTCCTAGTTGGAATTGTAGCGTGGGAACAGGATAGGAGGGGTGACAGAACAAGGCTGAGTTTGGATAGATGGATGGATACATGGATAAATAAATAGGTGGCTATCTTAAGTCAGTTTCCCCTTCTCTTCCAGGAACTTTGTGGATTGCACTCTTCTCTCAGTCTTTTCTTCCTTTCTGGATCCATCCTGCCCCTGAATCCAAGCCAACATGCCTGGCGGGTACAAAGGAGAATGTGGGGATGATGTTGACCCCATGCCTTTCTTGGCTCCCGGCGAGAAGGAGAAGATTGAAGCCATCAGCAAACCGTACGACATCAAGAAGTCCTGTTGGGTGAAGGAGGACAAAGAAGGCTTCGTGGCTGGAGAGATCCAATCAGAAACTGATACTCAAGTCACGATCAAGACGGTGACCAATCAGGTGAATTGATAGGAAGGGAAAACTCCATTTGGACTTTGTATGTCTCTCAGGTTAGGGACCGGGCAGGATTGCTCAAATTAAGGGGACATAACTTGCAGGGAAGATGTGATAGAACTTGTTTTGAACGTTGTATGGAGTGTCTAATGGCTGAAGTTTCCACTTATTAATCACAACAGAAGACAGATAATGGTTAGAAGGGTCTTGGAGATATCTAATCCAACCTCTTGCTCAGTGCATGAATCCACTATTACAGCATTCTTGACAGATGGTCTTCCAGGATCTGTTGATGTATC